CCGTAATGCATCGCTTTGCACCGCACTGCACCGCTTTGTACCGCACTGCATAGCACTGCACCGCACTGTCCTACTCTACACTGCCCTCTATTGTCACTGATGGCTGAGGGCCAGCCGATTGAGTTTGATGCGTGGCTTGCTGACCTCCGTCGCCATCTCACTGGTCAGCGGCAGGATGGCCACTCGCTGTCTGTCCATCTTGATGGTACCCTCCCCTGCTCTGACCCCCCCCCTGCACTGTCTCCTGACCCCTCGTCCGCAGAGCGTGAGTCTGCTGCAGCCGCTGCCCTTGCTCGCTCTGTCTGGCTGTCCCGTGACGCTGTTGCACAGCTTGCTATTAGCAATGCCCTCCCCCTGTTCGAGCGACCTCGCTTCAGGTCTATCACCACTGCCCAGGCTTTCCTAGATGCTGTTGTCCAGCGCTATTCCACCCCGCCTGCTGCCTCGGTCGGTCGTCTGATCCTCCCCATGCTCTTTCCTGACCTTGCGTCGTTCCCCACTGGCCGCTCACCTGCGCACCATAGACGAGACCTGGCGTGCTGCTTGCACCCCCACACAACTTCTAGCCCACCAGCCACCCCTCACCTCAACTCTCTACTTGCTAGCCACCCGCCTCCCTGACCGTCTTGCCACTGCCCGTGACCGCTTTCTTAGCGTCCACCCCGCAGACCTTACCCTCACTGACTTTGTTGACACCCTGTTTGCTATAGAGGCCCACCACCGCTCTATCGCTCAGACCAGCGGTACAGTGCCGGTCCCTATCTTTCAGGGTTGTGCCCTCGCTCAGTGCACCTTCTCCGACGGTTCTGCTGCTCTGGATGAGACTGCCGCTGCAGCACAGGTTGGTCCGGGGAAGGGTCGCCGCCCCAAGGCTGGACGTGGCGACGGGGGTGGGGGTGCGGGTGCAGGTGGTGCTGGAGCTGGGTCACCTGATGGTGGTGCTGACGCGGGGACTCTGACAGGTGCAGCCGAGCAGCCGTCTCAGCAGTCGCCGGTGTTGCAGCCGGACCCGCGCCAGCCGCAGCAGCCGCAGCCGCCGCAGCTGCAGCCGTCGCCGCAGCCGCAGCAGTCGCAGCAACAGCAGAGGCGGACGAGTCGTCTTCCGCCTGGGTGGCCCGGCGCTGGTGGCAGCGCTGCCGAGTGGTGGTTCGGGTGCGGTGCGCTGTTAGTACCTGCTTTAGACCAATCCTCGCCGTGGCTTCGTTTGCGGTAAGATCGGTCATACCTCCGTCCGCTGTTTCCGTCGCCTTGACGACCTGTTTCGTCAGCGTTTCGGCCCGTCGCCCGAGCTCCCAGACTGGCACAACTTGCTTAGTCGTAGGGTTCAGATTTTTTATCTGGTCATGGTTGAGATTGTTGCTGCTCTGCATGTGATGCATGCTGATGACTCTAGAGAGCTTCCGTCTTATTACCCCTTGTTGCCTAGTGTAGGTGTGCCTTCCTTAGACTCCCCTGCTGCGTCAGGCGTAGGATCCCCTGCTTTGTTTAGCCTTGGTGCTTCCATCGGTGCTTCGCCTCCGGCCGCCACTGCCGCGCTCTCCTTCACCCTCGACTCTGGCGCTTCCCGATGCTTCTTCCGCGACTCCACCACGTTGACACCGCTTCTTGTCCCTGCCGAGGTCTCCCCGGCATACCCCTCCTCCGGCCCTGTAGTCGCCCGCAGTTCCACCACCCTCCCCTGCCCGGCGGTTCCTTCGGGCTCTCTCACAGGCCTGCACATCCCCTCGTTCTCCAGGAACCTAGTTGGTGTCGGCTGTGTGAGAGTACGACCCCGTTACAACACTTGGCCTTTTCTTAATTCCTTTCTTTTTCATTTCTCTTTTATTCCATCTCATTTGGTTTCCTATTCTTCCTTTTCCATTAACCTTTGGTTTATCCTGCTATTATAATTATATCACCGACCAGGCTTGGGATGTACTGGTGCGCTCTATCTAGCGTAATCCTGCTGTAATCCCTTAAAGCCAATAGCCTCGCGTGGCTATACGCAGGGTGATTCTATCTTCTAGAAGGGTCTATTCCCCTAGGATAAGATAAACCTGGATACCCGATGTACTCTGGAAGTATAAAAGCGCCTTGTGGTGATCGATAGTGCAATCTTTCCTCGACACATTAGATCCTGTGACACTTGGTAATCAGAGCTTTTCTCACTCGGCCGCGCTCAACAAAGCAGCAGCAGCGGGAAAACCTGCCTCGAACAACCGCCGGGGGTGACCAATTCGACGCCGATTCTGGTAAGCACCAGCTCCGCGATTTTCGAATTACCCCCTCCGTGCGTGTTTTGAACAGGATGGCAACCTTCGACAACACCGAAGTTACCCAGCAGCTCTTCGCGCGCATCGCAGCCCTTCAGGAGGAAATGCGAGCGGATCGCGAAGCGTGGCGAAACGAGTTCGAGCGAGTAACTCGACTCGCCGGAGCGCAGCACGAGACGACAACGGCGACGACGCAGCGGTCGCAGCAGTTTCTTGAGGCTCCGAAACCGCGCCCACCTGAGCCGTTCGATCCGAGCGATCGAAACTCCGACGCCCGCAGATGGATTGCCGGGATGGAGATCTACTTCGCAGCCGTCGGATGGAGCTCGCCAGTATGGGACGAACAACGTGTACGACTCGCGGCGACACTGATGCGAGGGCCGGCACTCGAGTGGATTGGCGGCAACAGTACCTTCATCCACGGTGAAGCCACGTGGCAGCAGTTCCGCGCTGACCTGCTGAAACGCTTCGAGCCGATAAATTCCAGTTACCTTGCCCGGGAAAAAATTCATCGACACCGACAGTTCGGGAGTGTAGCGCAGTACACGCAGCAGATGGAGGAATTTTATAACCGCATTCCCGACCTGACCGAAGGGGAAAAAGTACAATCGTACCTCGCCGGGCTGAAGACCGAAGTCAAACGACAAGTCGTAATAGTGACGTCACTATTACGACAGCGTCAAACTACGCGAGCTATAGTGACGTCGTTTCGGCAGCAGAGCGCTTCGACATGGTCAACGCCGGAACACGACGGACGCACGTCGGCAGTACGCGACAGGGCGACCGCTCGGCTCACCCCACGTTCGCCGACCCGATGGAAGTCGACAGATTCGAGGGGCGGCCACGTCCGAAAAACACCAATTACACGTGTGATTTTTGCGGGGTGCCGGGTCATCAAATCTTCGACTGCAGCAAAATGAAAAACGCACGCGCAGAGTATCGGGCACGCAACAGTGGCGGAATTCCTTCAACTAATCAGAAGCCAAAAAAACGGGAGTCGCCAGTGATTGCGGATCTAGCTGGCGAAAATAAAAAGATCCGAAAGCGGCCGCGGGATTCCGGGAAAATCAACTTCGACGAAGCGGATTCGACGCGAGAAGGAGGAAATGATTGGGGGAAATCTCCACCCCACGACCAGTCTTCGCCAGGGAAAATCGCCGAGGAAAAATACGACTCCGCGAAAAAAGACTCTGCCGAGACAGGGAAACTCCTTGAAGACCCAAGAAATTATAAGAGTTCGTTAAAATTATCTTATAAAGATGCTTTAATGAAAACTTATAATGTTCGAGGGGCTAGAGCCTTGGAGAAAATTCGGGAGGGACTCCAAAAGAAGCAGACAGCTGTGGAGATTATACCGGTACCGAACAACTTGGGGAAAAAATTAAGGAGTGTGGAAAGAAGCCGACCTTTCCACGGAGTCAACGTCCTCTCCCGACACCAGCCCACAACGACTACCTGTTCCCCAGGGAAGACGTCGGTGGAGCTGAAGCAGCTCAAGAGGAAGCTGGAGTTCTATAAGAAGTTGCACAAACCCCAAAAACCTCCTCCGGATGCATCCAGTTCTTCGGCATCAGTGACGCGCACAGTCGTCAAGGAAACTCCGGGCTCTGTAGAAGAGCCGTTCTCCAAGCAGCCTCGGCCAGCTGCCAGCTCAGGAGTAGATAGCAACACAAAGGTGTGTACGGAATATTGGGATGTACCCTATGACCCAATCAATGAAACTATCTTTGGGTACTCCGAGCAACGACTGCCCCTCGTGCTCGAGGTCATCTGCAAAGGACGACGCCTCCAAGCACTCGTGGACAGCGGAGCATCACACACCGTTTCGACAAGGCAGTAATCGACCGACTTCGGGAAGAGTACAAGCCTTCGGGATTCTCTGCAACGATTGTGGACGGCAGCAAGTTACCAGTACACGGCGAAGCAGTGTTACACCTACAAATTGGACCACTGTGCTGGAAACCTGCACTTCCCATCACCAACATCAAAGGGCTTGACCTGATCTTTGGGCAAGACTTCCTAAAAAGATTCAACCCCGAGATCAACTGGGTGAACCGCACCGCAAGCATCTACAACAATGGACGGAGAGTACAGCTACCCAACTGGGACGATACATGAGATATCCCAGTGGAGACACTCGCACGATTCGAGAAGGACGTGAAGCGAACCGACACAGGGTTCCTGGCAATAGCAACAGAGGTGGAGAACGACAGGGAGAGAACCTCGGAACCTCCAGGAAAGATCAAGGAATTATTGAAGGAGTTCCAAGATATTCTTCCGGAAGATCTTCCGAATGAGCTACCGCTATACCGAACGCATCAACACGAGATCGTGGAGGAACCGGGTTCGAAGCCGACCTTCCGAGCACCATATCGGCTCAGCCCTACGGAGCTGACCGACATGAAAAAACAAATCGAGTATCTCCTAGCCAAAGGACTCATCTGACCATCCACTTCGCCGTACGGTGCCCCAGTACTCTTCACACCGAAACCGGACGGAAGCCTGTGCATGTGCATCGATTACCGAGCTCTTAACAAGCAGACCATCAAGAATAAATATCCGATACCGCGAACCGATGACTTGCTTGACCAGCTTCGGGGAGCTACAGTATTTTCCAAACTGGATCTGCGGTCCGGATACTGGCAGATACGCATGGCGAACAACTCTATCCACAAAACTGCTTTCCGAACTCGGTCTTGATCGTACGAGTATTTGGTAATGCCATTCGGACTCACCAACGCACCGGCAACGTTCCAAGCAGAAATGAACCACATTCTACGACCACTTTTGGACGAGTGCGTGGTGGTGTACCTGGACGACATACTCATCTACTCGCGCAACATGAAGCAGCACGTCGAACACCTGCGACGCGTCTTCGAAATTCTTCGACGAGAACGATTCTACGTCAAACTGTCCAAGAGCGAATTCGCCCTTGAAAAGGTCCAGTTCCTAGGACACATGGTGAGCGCTCAAGGAGTTCACGTCGACCCCAAGAAAATCGAGGCCGTACGCACGTGGAAGACACCCGAGAACGTGAAGGAGTTGCAGCAGTTCCTAGGCTTCGCTAATTACTACAACAGGTTCGTGCCACAGTATGCGAAAATCGCAGCACCACTCACGAATCTTGGGAAGAAAAACACGCCCTACAAATGGGAGCCGAAGCACCAGGAAGCCGTTGAGCAGCTGAGCCAAGCACTTACGTCTGCACCTGTACTCATTTTGCCAGATCCCGAACGCGACTACGCCATCGAAGCTGACGCCAGTGACCAAGCAGTGGGAGCAGTCTTGATGCAAGATCAAGGGAATGGACTGCAACCAATCGCTTACCTAAGTAAGAAACTGCACGGGGCAGAACTAAACTACCCGATACACGACAAGGAGGCCCTAGCTATCATCATCGCCTTCAAAGCATGGAGATGGTATCTCGAAGGACGAAAAACAACCGTCTACACCGACCACTGCAGCCTGAAATACTTGAAGACACAACCCAACCTCTCCAGGCGGCAGGTCCAGTGGATCGACTTCCTTGAGACACACTTCCACTACGACATCGTGTACAAGCCCGGTCACAAGAAAAAAGTAGACGCCCTCAGCCGGCCTGCACACGTTGCCGCTATTCAGGTCGAAGGGATGAATCCACTCTTCAAGGGACTCTTCACACACGGGTACGCCACCGACCCCGAAATTCCCTTGGCAGAAAAGCGACATCTGCTACAGTGGGACAGTGACATCGCGTACCGGAAAGGATCAACGAAAATCTGGGTACCCAATTACCCTCCTTTGCGCCAGTTACTACTCGAAGAACACCACGACGTCCTCTATGCCGGACACTTCAGCAGCAACAAGACGCGGACCGGTATCGCAAAGCACTACTACTGGCCCCACTTAGCAGAAGATGTCCAGACATTCGTCACCTCGTGTGATACATGTCAGCGGATGAAGAGCAGCAAGCAGAAAAAGGCGGGACTATCAAACAGTGAAATTAATGAATAGAGAGAGAGAGTACACAAACATATACCTAACAGTTGTACTCTCTAGAAGATGACCCTATACAGTCTATACAAGCATGATAACTAAACATGTTTGACACACCCCCTGGACTGCATAGGGGAATGTTCTAGACAAGCAGCTCAGGGTGGCACTACTAGTCCAGCCTCTGAGACAAGGGTCTAAAAGACCAGTCAGAAGGAGTACAGGCAAGGCAAGAACTAGTACAGGGCGGCACTACTAGTCCAACCACTGTAAGAGGACACAAGTCCAGTCTGAGTGTACACACAGATATATATAGGGCAGTACAAAGTCAAGGCCCGAGTAAGTGAGAGACTACAGGAACCAGACCAAGCTGTACACAGTGCCGCTGATGATCTTTAGGCGCAAGCGCCTTCGTAAAGATATCAGCTGTGTTGGCACCGGAGGCTAAGTGTACTACGCGAGCCTGGCGACGCTGCTGTAGCTCACGCAGGAGGAAGTACCGCAGCTGGATGTGCTTCGCTCTGCCCTCGAGTCGAGGCTCCTGACACAGGAGGATCATGGCCCTGTTGTCAGCGTACAGGACCGGGGCAGAGCTAGGCCGCTCACCTAAGTCAGTGAGCAAGAAGGTCAGCCAGCGGAGCTCCTGTGCCGCCATGGCACCGGCGTAGATCTCAGCCTCACAGCTGGACTGGGCAACAGACGAGGAGCGGGTAGCTCTCCACGAGACAGCACCTGAGCCAAGGCTAAAGCAGTAGCCCTGGGAAGACCTGAGCGTCTCGGCGTCGTCTGCCCAAGAAGCGTCTGTGTGTCCAGTAAGGACCACTGGCCTGCGTCCGCCTAGCACTAACCCCATGCCCGATGTACTTGCAAGATAACGCAAAACCCTCTTAGCGGCAGACCAGTGCTGAGGTCGGTGTCTGCCTGTGGCCACGAAACGAGCCAGGATGCTGAGAGGGTATGCGAGATCTGGGCGAGTGCAAGTCATCAGGTACATGAGGCAACCCACTAGCTCAGCGTAAGGACCACTGGGATCTACCGACTCCTCATGAACTGGAGCGGAGAGTCTGTGGTCCAGAGGAAGAGGGGTGGGCTGTGCGGAGGAGAACTGAAGGCTGGCGCACCAAGTGTGACTGAGTCAGGGTGATGGTGCGCGCGGCTCTGTCCCTGGAGATCTGCAAGCCAAGGTAACGGCGCAGCTCTCCAAGGTCAGTGCAGGTGTGTCTCTTCAGCAGCTCTGCCTTCACGGAGGCCAGTGCGTCCCTGTCAGCAGTGGCAAAGACCAGGTCGTCTACGTAGACGAGGATGTAGAACGGAGTCGAGCCAGCACGAACGAAGAGCGAGGGGTCTGCAGAGGACGGAAAGAACTGCAGGTCAGCAAGGGTAGCACGCAAAGTGTCGTGCCACTCACGAGGCGCCTGGCGCAGGCCGTAGACTGGCCGCCGCAGAAGCCACTGGGTCCCAGGGGGGAAGGTGCCAGTAAAGCCCTGAGGGCGACGCAGGTAGACCTGCTCGTGAAGGCTGCCCTGAAGAAAGGCAGTGGAGAATTCGAGGGAGTGAAGCTCGTAGTCACGCTGAGCCGCTACGTGTAGCAGCACCCGAAGAGTAGTCATCTTCGGGGTAGGAGCGAAAGTCTGAAAGAAGTCCACCCCCTCGCGCTGACTGAAGCCTCTAGCCACGTAGCGCGCCTTGAACACAGGCGGCTCTCCAGGAGGGCGCTTCACCTTGAAGAGCCAACGGCCATCGACCACGTTCACCCCAGGTGGGGGAACTGCGTCGACGGAGGTGCCGGTGGATCTCCAAGATGCCATCTCCTGCTCCATGGCAGCTATCCACTGAGAGGCCCAGGGTCCCGAAACCGCCTCAGCGTAAGTACGAGGGGTCGGGATGTCGAAAGCGTCTGGGTCACCCTCAGGGACTAGCAGCATGGAACAGAGATGGGGAGCAGCCTCGGACAGGAAAGCAAGCTCAAACTGGCGGTCCTCCAGGACGTCACTGCCGAGGGCAGGAGCACCCCCGACAGACGGAGGACAGGCAGGGTGAGAGACCAGAGCGGTGGCGTAGTCAAGGCGGCGGGTAGAGGCGAAGTCAGCGACCGCAGCGACGAGGGCGTCAAGACTCGACACGGGAACAGACGGGTCGGTAACGAGAGAGGCAAGGACCCGAGGAACAAGAGGACGAGCGGCACGAAAGGAGTCGGACAGAGGAGGAGACGCAACGACAAGAGAAGACGGAGGAGGAGACGGGAGGAGGGGAGGTCGAGACGCGTGGGAACGGAGCAACATAGGGTGAGAGCGCGGGACAGGGGAGACAGGACGAGCACGGGAGGGGCGGCGAGACCAGACGTGAGAGGGCGGCGTCGGGTCGGGAGACAGAGGAGGGGACACGGGTGGGGAACGAGGGGGAAAACGAGCCGGGGACGAGTCTGGCAGAGGGAACACGGGGCCGTAGACGGGAAGAGGGGGAGACGGCAGGAGAGGAACAGGCGCAGGGTCAGGAGACGGAAGGCCGAGCAGACGGAGGGCGGACACCGGCGGGGACTGCTGCTGCGGCGACACAACACCAACACCAGGGCCACAAGCTGCGCGACGGCTACCTCCCGAACCCTCCACACCTGCACCCCCAGAAGGGACACCCCCAGAGTCCACAAACGGCGGCAGCGACGACAGCGGCGGCGGCGGCGGCGGCTGCAGCGACGGCTGCGACGGCGGCGGCGGCGGAGACGACGGCTGCAACGGCGGCGGCGGTGGAGACGACGGCTGCAGCAGCTGCGGCGACGGCGGCTGCGGAGGCGGTGGAGGAGGAGACACCGGGGGAGGGACAGACGGCGAGGACTGCGCCGGAGGACTACCAGAGTCAGAAGACTCGTCGACCGGGACGACCGACGGGAGGGGGGTGACGTGAGACACACCAGAGGGGGCCGGACGGGGGGGCGGGGGGGGGGAGGGGCAGGGACCACCAGGGAGGGAGGAACCAGGAAAAGGGGGGGAGTAACCGGGGGACCACGGTGGGGAAAGCGGCGGTAGAAGGAGACGGACTCGTCAAAGGTGACGTCGCGAGAGTGAAAGAAGCGGTGAGACGGCGGGTGGTAGAAGTGCCAGTCGGACGCGTCAAGGGGGAAACCGAGGAAGACGCAGGGGAGGGTGCGGGCAGTGAGCTTGTCCGTGCCAGAGGCACGAACGTGAGCAAGGCAGCCCCAGACGCGGAACGCAGACGCGTCACCAGGGGACCCGGTCCACAGAAGGGTCGGCGAAACCTGCGGCCGCTGGGGGTGCGGCCACAGGTTAAGCTGGTGAGCGGCGTAGCGCACGGCGAACGGCCACAGAAAATGGGGTGCACCGGCGTGGATCATGGAGGTGCGAGCCACCTCCATGACCAAACCGATGCGTCGCTCAGCGACCCCATTCTGCTGCGGGGAGTCCGGCAGGGTAAACGTCTGGGTGATGCCCTCCGCACGACAGAAGCGACCAAGGACACCTGAGGCAAACTCGCCACCCCGGTCGGAGTGAAGGCGCAAGGCAGGGAGACCGCGGTGGACACGAGCAGAGACAAGCCAGGGGATGAGAACGTCAGGCACGTCGGCCTTCCGCTCCAGGGGGAAGACGGTGGTGTAGCGCGTGAAGTCGTCGACAAGCACTAGGAAGAAGCGCTCGCGACGCGGCCCATGGACCGGGGCTGGGCCCCAGACGTCCATGTGCAGAGTCTGCAGTGGTGCGGTGGTAGGGGGAAAAGAGGAGGAGTGAGGGGCACGGTGGAGCCGGCCCTCGACACAAGGCGTGCACGGTGGGGCGGGGGAGGAGGGAAACTCGGGGAACGAACCGGGGAGACCAAGGACGAGACCGTGCTGGGACATGTGACGCAGACGCGGGAGCGCAGGGTGACCTAGGCGGTGGTGCCAAAGGAGAGTCGGGTGAGTGAGGGACCGACAGGAGCAGGCAGCAGCAACCTGGGTAGACGCAGCCACCTGAGGGAGCGCTCCAGCCGGGGGGGTCACGGTGTCCAGAGTGAACAGGCCGGACACTGGGTCCCGGGGGAACGTGGACAGGGGGGCACCAGTGGCGGCCTCGGTACAGACAGCATACCGCTCGTGACCAGGGAACGTAGTGGTGACGCCAAGGTCCTGGAGGCAGCCGACACCAACTAGGTTCCTGGAGAACGAGGGGATATGCAGACCTGTGAGAGTGCCCGAAGGAACCGCCGGACAGGGAAGGGAGGTGGAACTGCGGGCAACGACGGGACCACCGGAGGGGTCAGCAAGAGTAACTGCAGCGGGAACAGGCAGCGGCGTCAGCGTCGTGGAGTCGCGGAAGAAACACCGGGAGGCGCCAGAGTCCAAGGTGAAGGAAAGCGCAGCAGTCGCGCGAGGCAGCAGTGAAGCGGTGGAAGCACCAAGGCTAAGCAAAGCAGGAGATCCTACGCCTGACGCAGCAGGGGAGTCTACGCTAGGCACCGCTACACTAGGCAACACGGGGTAATAAGAGGGAAGCACACTAGAGTCATCAGCATACATCACATGCAAGGCCGCTACAATGGCATCCATGTCCAAGTCAAAAATCCTAATGCTACGCCTAAGCAAGCTGTGCCAGTCCGGGAGGTCGGGCGCCGGGCCAAAGCGCTGGCGGAACAGGTCGTCCAGGCGACGAAAACAGCGAGGAGTAGAATGACCGATCTTACCGCAAACGAAGCCGCGGCGAGGACCGGTCTGGATCTGGTACTGACAGGGCCCGCCTCCAGAACCACCACCCGGTGCACCACCACGCGCACGACCACCACCAGCTCCAGGCCACCCAGGTGGGAGAGTACCCGCCTGCCTCGTCTGCGGCGGCTGCTGCGGCTGCTGCGAAGGCTGCGGCTGCGGCGACTGCTGCTGCTGCGGCTGCTGCAACTGTGGAGGCAGCGGGGCAGCTGGACCGGGCAGGGTCCCCACGTCCGCACCGGCACCGGACGACCCGCCTCCACCACTACCCCCACCCGCACCCCCGCCGCCTCCGCCGCTCCCAACCTTGGGGCGGCGGCCCTTCGCCGAGCGGGACTGCACTGCAGCAGCAGTCTCAGCCACAGCGACAGAGCCGTCGGAGAAGGTACACTGAGCGGGGGCACAACCCTGAAAGATAGGGACCGGTACTGTACCGCTCGCCAGGGCTATGGAGCGGTGACGAGTCTCTATGGCAGTCAGGGTGTCAACAAAGTCGGTGAGGGTGAGAGCAGCAGGGTGGATGCTAAGGAACTGGTCGCGGGCGGCGGCAAGGCGGTCAGGTAGGCGGGTGGCAAGGAGGTAGAGGGTAGAGGTCATGGGAGGCTGGTGGACTCTAAGCTGAGCATCAGTGCAGGCAGCGCGCCAGGCCTCATCTATCGAGCGCAGGTGGGCAGCGAGGTCAGAGACAGTGGGGAAAGACGTCAGGTCAGGAAAGAGCAGGGGAAGGATCAGGCGACCCACTGAGGCAGCAGGAGGGGTAGAATAGCGCTTGATGACAGCATCGAGGTAGGCCTGGGCGGTAGGAATGGTTCTAAAGCGAGGGCGCTCAGTGGGGGGGAGGGCATTGCTAATGGCGAGCTGAGCAAGGGCATCGCGGGAAAGCCAGACAGAGCGGGCAAGGGCAGCAGCGGCAGTGGACTCGCGCTCAGCGGGCGTGGGATCAGCGGGCAGCACAGCAGGGGGGTCAGGGCAGGGGAGCATACCGTCTAGGTGTGCAGAAAGCGGGTGGCCGTCCTGCCGCTGGCCAGTGAGGTGGCGGCGAAGGTCAGCCAACCACGCCTCGAACTCCAGAGGCTGACCCTCAACATCAAAACGAAGCTCAGCAGCCATGAGGGGCAGTGGAGGACAGTGCAGTGCGGTGCAGTGCGATGCAGAGCGGTGCAGTGCGGTCCAGTGCGGTGCAGTGCGATGCAGTGCGGTGCAGTGCGGTCCAGTGCGGTGCAGTGCGGTTAGTGCGATCCAGGGAGGTGCAATGCGATGCAAGGCGGGGCAGGAAAGTGCAGGAGGGTGCAAAGTGGTGCGGGGAACGGGGGACAGTACCAGGAAGTATGGAGGGCCGGGGCAGGTGCGTTGGGGCCGGGCAGGCACGACAAGGCCGGGCGGCGGCGACGGGGCCGGGCGGCTGCGACGGGGCCGGGCGGCGGCGACGGGGCCGGGCGGCAGCGACAAGGCCGGGCGGCTGCGACGTGGCCGGGCGGCTGCGACGGGGCCGGGCGGCTGCGACGGGGCCGGGCGGCTGCGACGGGGCCGGGCGGCAGGGACGAGGCCGGGCCGGACGCCACGCGGCCGATAGGCCGCGACGGGGCCTGGAGGGGCGCTACGAAGCCCGGGAAGGGGCGCGACGGGGCCTGGGAGGAGCGCAAAGGGGCCCAGGAGGGGCGCTACGGGGCCTGGGAGGAGCGCGACTGGGCTAGGGAGGGGCGCGACGGGGCCTGGGAGGAGCGCAATGGGGCCCAGGAGGGGCGCTACGGGGCCTGGGAGGAGCGCGACGGGGCCCTGGAGGGGCGCTACCAGGCCCTGGAAGGGGCGCGACGGGGCCTGGAGGGGCGCTACGAAGCCCTGAAAGGGGCGCGACGGGGCCTGGAGGGGCGCTACAAGGCCTGGGAGGAGCGCGACGGGGCCCAGAAAGGGGCGCAACGGGGCTAGGGAGGGTCGCGACGGGGCTAGGGAGGGTCGCGACGGGGCTAGGAGCACGACGGGGCCCAGCTAGGGGGCGAGCGGAAGCGTGAGGGGGGGGGGGGGGGGGGGATCCTACCTACGCGTGATACCATATCAAACAGTGAAATTAATGAATAGAGAGAGAGAGAGTACACAAACATATACCTAACAGTTGTACTCTCTAGAAGATGACCCTATACAGTCTATACAAGCATGATAACTAAACATGTTTGACAGGGACTACTGCAGCCTCTTCCTGTCCCAGAACAACCATGGCAAGTGGTTAGCCTGGACTTCATCACCGGGTTACCACCTACCTCCAGCGGTCATGACGCCATCCTTGTCGTCATTGACAAGTTCTCCAAAATGGGACACTTCATCCCGATGTATTTTCCCTATTAATAACGTACGGTTTATGACATGTACGTCTGATAATATAGCGAATTATAATTATGCTTTATAAATAGGATGTCACGATATAAGGAAACACCCTACTAGTAAACACCAATGTCTACTGTCGGGGCAAAAATGGTGAATCATAGGTTTCGCCTCGCCATCCATCTATAATCATGAGTTTCCATTACCACTGGCACCACATGATGCTGCGAGTCCTTTAGCACCCTTCAACCCCAGCATCTCGCAATGGGAGAACAAAAACTAGACCTGTACCACCACCATACAGGTAAACTTGCCGGTAAGCTCATTGTCAAGCCGGCATGTATCAGTATGGGCTCATTGCCCATGCATATTACTCGTTACAGGACCCTAGCGTCCAATAACCATAGTTGGGTTGAGTGGGGAAGAAGGGGAAAGGCAGGGCGGCTTGCCGTGCGAGCCTGTGAGAATGTCGAGAAGTGCCCGTGCCTTAACACACGCACGGGAGGAGAAGGCCGGCCCTTCCATAGCTCGTTGCAGTGCACCTATCACCCCTTCCTCTACCATCCTCGCAGCACAGCTTGCACTCATTCTGCTGTGCTTCTCACCGCAGCAGCAAGCACAGCTGCCGCCACCGCTGCCACCACTGCCGATGCCAATGCCGATGCCACCGCTGCTGCTGTTGCTGCTGGTGCTGCTGCTTTCGCTGCTGTGCCGGTGGCCGGTGGCTTTCTGTGCGTCGAGGTCTTGGCTAGTGTGCATGAGCATGAGCAGTGTCATGACTGCGTCCTCCCTTGTCCGCTGAGACTCCTCCTCTTCCACCAGCTCCACCAGCGCTGCTATCGCGTCCACTCCATGGCACTGCGCGCTGCTGCTGCTGCTGCTACTCCCGCCGCGGTCGCACTTGCCCGCCAAAGTAGCAGTACCCCCAGAAGCAGAAGCAGAACCACCAGTAGCAGCAGCAGCAGCAGCAGCAGCAGCACAACAGCACCCAGGCTGCCCCACAGCCAGCAGCCTCTTACACCCGTCCTCCCTGCGGCACACATTGGCTGTCACGGCCATAACCTTTTCCACCAGCCCCACCTCTCGGAACGTCAACAGGTCAACAAGCACCTCCACCGCTCCCGCGCCTACCAGCTCCTTTGCACCATCCTCATCCCTAGACAGATTAAACAGCACGAGGGCCGCGTCTTTCCTCCCCCTCGTGCTCCCCGTGCGGAGCAGATCGACGAGTAGAGGCACGGCGCCGGCTGCTCTGACCTTCTCAGCTGCCCCGTCGGCGATAGAGAGGTTGAAGAGCGTAGCCGCGGCATTCTCTCGCGTGCCCATGGACCCCCCCCTCCGCAGCACCTCCACAACGGCCTCGATCCCCCCGCATGCCACGAGCGCCGGCGTCGCACCCGGGTGTAACGCCACATTGAAGAGTGCAGTAACCGCATGCTCGCGCACTTTCCCGTCGGCGGTTTGGAGCAGAGCGTCTACTAGGAAGTCCACTGCACCGGTTTCGAGGAACTCGGCTTTGGTCTGGGAGCTGCCCTTGAGCAGGGCGCGGAGGTTGGCGGCAGCGCTGCGACGGTGCGAGATGGGGCCCTTGGACATGTGGGCCAGCAGAGACCACACGTCGCTGGGGTCGTAGCTCTGCTGCTCCTCCTCCTCCATTGCATGCTGCAATGCCTGCTGCTGCTGTTGTGCTTGCATCTGCTGCTGTTGCCGCTTGTCTGGGCTATGCCCTGTCTGCCGCTGCCCCTGTACCCGCTGCGGCTGCAACCGCCCAGAGGCCATTGGCACCTGTCCGGACCCCCCTCCACCCGCTCCCATCCCCGCTCTTTTCCTCGATTGCTCAGGGGAATCAGACCACTCACTTTCCTCATCCCCGCTCTCCATTCTCACCATCCTCCCCCCTCCACCTCCTCTCCCTCCATGGCCCACCATCCCCCCCTTCTCTCCGCCGCTCCCCTCACTGGTCAATGCTCCAGCTGCCCTGACGGCCTTCCCCACACCCCCCTCGGCCCTCAGACTACCTGTTGTTCCAGAGGAGGCTGTCCCTGGCCTTGCTAGCAGCGCCACCCCTCCCGCCCCTCCTGCTCCTCCTGCCCCTCTGCCTCCTGCTCCCTCTGCCTCTGAATCAGCGCGCACAGGCACAGAGAATGTCCTGTGCAGTCCCTGCCCCTGCTGCCCCTGCCCCTGCTGCCCCTGCACCTGCCCCTGCACCTGCCCCTGCACCTGCCCCTGCCTTGGCATCTGCCCTTCTCCCCGTCTCGTCCTTACTGTTACTCCCAAGCCTGCGATCATTCCCGAGCCTGGTTGCCCTGGCCGAAGCACAGTGCTGCGGGATCGGCACATCGTTACTGTCGCCCTGCCTTCCGGACCTGTTGGGGTCCTTGGCCGCCGAACCTGGGACTGAGGCTCTGCCAGGTGGTGAGGCGCTGCCAAGCCTCGCTCGCTTGCCGAGCCTCCGTCACCCGTTGTTGCCCAATCGGACTGCACGGATTTTGAGCGATGGATATGATGGAACCGTGAAGGACCCTGTTGCTGCTGCTGCTGCTGCTGCTGCTGGCGATGTTGAGACTGCTTCTCTTGCGGATGTGGGTACACGAGAGGGTGTTGAGGGGAGGAGGAGGAGGAGGAGGGAGGAGGGGAGACAGAGCAGGACATGTCGACAGAGGGGCTCTTTCCTCCTCTGAAGGGAGAGGAGGTGGACGAGGCGGAGGAGGAGGACGGATAGAGCGGCTGGGTAAGGGCAGACGCACTACTTGAAATCGACCTGGGAATGCGGCACTGCTGCTGCTGCTTCATCTGCTGATGCTGCACCTGCTGCACCTGCTGCACCTGCTGTTGCCACCGTTGCTGCTGCTGCTGCTCCTCCCCCTCTTCCCCCTCCTCCAGCTGCTGCTCTACAAACACAGAGTCACTACCATGGAAACCCCTTCCTGCCATGTTTCCTCCTGATCCTCCTCCTCCTCCTCCTCCTCCACTACCCCCAGGAAGGTCCCTCCACCCTCCACTCACCATTCTCTCCTCCCCCCCCCGCTCCCCTTTCCCTCTCAATCCTATCAGCATTTCTTGGAACTCCCCCCCCCGTGGCTGTGACTGCGAGCGCCCAGGCAAAGTTTCCCCGTCCCCTGCGCCTCCCCTCCCCCTCCCGCCTTCCCCCATCACGCTGGAGTGCAGAGAGGAGGCGCGGCGGAGTCCCCCGAATTTTCTTCCGCCACCGGCCCCCCTTGCCCCACTGGTGCTCCCCGCATTAGCAGCTGAGCGGACTCGTGCTGCTGCCGGTGCGCCAGATACACCTGCACCAGGCACACCTGCTCCAGGTAGACCTCCCCAGCCTGTTCCTGCTCCGGCGCCTCCTCTCCCTGCTGCTGCTGCCATTGCTGCAGTGTGCTTCCCTCCTTCGTCAAGCCCATAGAGGCCCCTTTCCCCTTCCTCTCCTTCCTCCTCCTCCTCCTCGTCCCCGTTTAGAAAAGGACCCGTTATTGTATCACTCACACTGTTACTTCGTTGTCGCCACTTGCTGGGGGACTGGTGCAGGCTGCTGCTGCTGCTGCGGCCGTCGCTATTTGTTCTTCCCACGTTAATACAGTTACTGCTGCTATTGGTATTACTGTAGTTACTGTTCGCTTTTCCGTTATTACAAACGGATTGGGACCGCGGGAGCGAACCGTCGTTCGCAAATCCACCCCCGTTAATAGAACCGCTGGTGCTGACGCTGCTGCTTCTGCTGTGCTGCTGCTGCTGCTGCCGCGCGTTGGGATTCGTCCTTTCGTTACAAGAACCCCCGCTACCAGATAACTGGCCCTGCTGCGACTGTAGCTGCTGCTGCATCCAACGCCGCTGGTCCCCACTGCTCTGCATCCCCCTTACAGCAGAACTCAGCCGTTCGCTATTGTTCGCCGGACCTCCCTTTCTCAACCTAACCGTCCCTCCGCTTATTTTTCTGCCCTGTACACTTCCCTCGACCCCGTCGCTACAATTCCCGCTCATATCCTCCAGGCACACGCTCGTGCTGCGCATCACTCCGCCGCCTCCGCCTGAGCCTCTCCCGCCAGTTAGCCCCCCTCCACCCCCTCGAGCTGCGATATTCGGCTGTAAAGCCGGCTGCTGCTGCTGCTGCTGCTGCTGCTGCTGCTGCTGGGAAAAGTTGATATTTCGGTTTACGGGCACTCGTTCCTTGGCGCGTTGCAGCTGCTGCTGCTGCTGCTGCCTGTTACCACCCTCGCCATCCTTGCTGTTACCGATCGACCCCTGCCGCTGCCCGCGGCCTAGCCCCTGCCCGTGACCACGCGTGCCATTCGCCGCGGAACCCGTGTTTCCCGCGCCGCTCCCCCACACGCTGCCGTCGTCGCTCTCGTCATCGTCCCCCAATATCCGGTCCAGCGCGACTCGCATCCGCTGCTTCTGCGCATCCCGCGTCCCCGCGCTCTCGCCATCGCATCCTCCCCCTCCCCCTCCCCCTCCGCCTCCGCCGCTGCCTCCGCCACCGCCGCCGCTGGCATCGCCTGCGGGACTATCGCGACCGCTTCTGCTTTTCCTTGCGCCGCGGAGCTCCGGCGGGGAGAGGAGCAGAATCGGCGGAGAGGCGAAGCGCGTGAGATCCGCCACGGATCGCGAGCGGTGGTGCGTCGCGATGAGCCACGTGGGCGAGTCGCACTCGCTGTTGCCGTTCCGGGGCGACCCAGAAGACGAGGAGTCGCTGGGGAGATTGAGCGAGAATCCCGGCGCCGACGCCGCTGCGGCAGCGGCGCCGCCGCTTGGTCGTGCCGCGTTTGGGCGGACGGCAAGGGCGGGGTCGTCGATGCGAGTTGGTCCCTGGAGGACGGGATTAAGACCCGGACCGCCCATTGACATCGCAGAGGCCTGCGAGCGCGATCGAAGAATCGGACGTCTAGGAGGCTGCGGCTGCGGCTGCGGCTGCGATTGCTGGTTCTGGCTAGAGTTTGCGACTCGGGTCTGCTTCTGGTTTGGGGAGGTGTGCCTTGGTGAGCTGTGTGCCTGCTGCTGCTGCTGCTGCTGCTGCTGCTGCTGGTGACTGACAATCATCGTAGCGGCGCACTCGTTGCTGTTGCTCCGACGGACAGCTTTAGGGTAGCCGACGAGGTCGGCACCATCCGTTGCCACGACAGGGCTACCCGCGCCGGGCTGGATTCCCCAAGCGTCGCAAAAGTCCGCGATTCGGTCTCGCAGCGCGGGAAGCGGGGCTAGTCGAAGGTGATCGAGCGGCGTCGCTTCTACCGGACAGTCGCGCTCACCGCTATCGAGCCAGTCTTGTATCGCGGCCCACTCAAACGCGTACCCTGAAGACGTCGCGACCGGATCCGCCATGACTTGATGCGAGAGCGGGCAGACGAACTCCGCGGGAACCGTCACGGACCCTGCTGCGCCATTGTTGTTTCCGCCGGTCGCGACGTTTCCATTCGTGTTGGATAAAGCTGGCGGGGGACTTTTGAGGAGGAACGTGCCTGCCGGCAGCACGACTGGCGACGGTGCGTCCCTATCGCGGTAATGCTCGCGGTGATGGGGAACGTCCGCCATGACGGTTCTTTGAACAGAGCTGAGCATTCTGCTAGAGGCTAGTAGCACGTGTGGTTTTTTCCATATAACGCGGTGCTTTGTTAGGCTGAACGGAGATAGGATTTTTTTAAGTAGTTGGAGAATTACAGGTAAGAAAACGGTTTCCAGCGGTAATAGTTACTGAGGGAGGAAGACTGGCTGCGGTGGGGTGGTGGAGATCTTTCGGGAGGGTGAAAGTGGTCGGAGCGAACCGAACAGACTGAACTGAACGAGCATGAGGTGACAGCGGGTGGGGTAAGGCTTGACGAGCAAGAAGGGGTTGGAGAAAAGTGGTCGACGGTGTTGGCATTGACAAAGCAACTGTAGTGGTTGTTGCAAAATGGGCGTTGGGGAATGGGACACCCGTTGGACATGCCAGGTTGAGTTAAATCCTCGTGTTTCTGGCCGTTGGTTTCGTGGTCGAATGCACTGCGAGCTTGAATGCACCAGGGGGAAGCGCCGCCTGCTCTGCAAACTCGTGGTGACAAGGTGCAGCATAATACAGGTCAACTAAAAATCGAATTTCCTCTGCTCAGAAATCTACCCCCCTGGAAGGGGGGATCGCTTGCGGCAGGGTATGGTGGTGGAACAAGGACGTGGCGCGAAGGCTGTGTGGTCCGCTCCGTGGGGTAGTGGAGGGGGAGCAGTTCAGGCTGGGCCTGGTGGCGCACTGTAGACGAGTGTGAGGACGGGGAGAACTTACAGTACAGGGAATAGGTGGGGGATGCACAGCACTCACCCACACCGTTTGGTTGCAATTTGCTGCTCAGTGCTCACCATGGCCGCCCCTCCAAGCTGGTTCTTTTTTCTCGCACCTCAATCCCAACCACACATTGCCAAATCACAAGAGAGCCTACGTTGGGATTCGCGAAAGAATATATTGACACAGGTGGCGGGATGGCTGGGCAGTGGGCTTAAGTTTCCGAGTAAACGACATGCTTTGTTTACTTAAGGTCCGTTTCTTCTTGCGAGATTCCCAGGCCCAACGCGCTACTCAATTTTTAAGGGCTGGTTCGGAACGATTCCCGCCAGATCGAGGCGGTACGAAAAATAGCACCCGTAAAAAGAAAACAAAATGGTTGCCCGATCACAAGGCTGCCCAGCCCACACCCACACTCCAAGTTCTTCCATTCCGCCCAAACTTCGGTACAGAACTGAATGGGACAAATCAATGGAAGCAGTCGAGCGTACTGTTTGCCTCGCCACGTTCTTCACGGCAATCTCTTCTTGTTGGACAGGCACTGCAGCTGGCAGCCAGCTTTCATTCGCAGAGCCGAGTGGGGTTTTACTGTCAGACGCGCTTCGTTTGAATTTCATTAACAGGTGAAGGAAGTGTTGAATATATCCTTAGCTGATTACCAACCATCCTAGGAGTGATGCGGTATAAATGGTGATCTAGTGGTAACACAATTTACCAGAATTGAAATGGGAAATAGCAGCACGAAAAAATCTGTACTACGAAAATAAATATAGGAAGCACTCATAACCTGAGTGCACGCTGTTCGACTACTTTTGAGCTCCTGGTGTAAGCAGGAAAGGGGCAAGGGAAGGGAAGGGAAGGGAAGCAGAATACGGGGTGAGTGACAGGATGTTCAGTGGCAGTTACGCGTGGCGCTCACGCTTGTAAAGGAGATGAGACTAGACAAGGAGAAAAGCGGGCTTGGTGAAATCCCAGAAGGTGAAGGGATAGCATGTGCCCCTTCATGTGTAGAAAAGAGACACACAAGGAAATTCTGCAGTTATACCTTGTGCAAGGGACCTCCATATGGAGGATGCAGTTCGTTCCAGGACCTCCCTTGCTTCGTCAGCAGACTGCAGCGAGAATTTACCATAGGAGGATGGAAGCAAGGAGGGGAAGACAGGAGAGAGACAGGTTGGGGACGGTGAGTGAGAAAAAGAGCGAGTAGGAGATAATGAGTTGGGGCATGGGGGGAGTGAGCGAGTGGAAAATGAAAGAAAACAGTGGACGAATTGACTAAAATGCCGTCAAGTTGCACGGACGGTACCACCTCTCCCTCTCTGTCCCGCCCCGTATCCCTCTCACCCCGCACTGGTCCATGAGCTGCTCTCTCTTGGGCAGCGCCCAGCCCCACAGCAGCGTCACCACGTTCACAGCTCGCGACATCTGCTGGCTCTCCATGCGCCCTGCACACAGCGCCCGGGGGGAGGGGGAGGGGGAGTGGGGGGGGAAGGGGAGAGGAAGGGAGTTGAGAGACGGGGGAAGGAGGGAAGGAGTGTGAAAGCACACAGCGAAACTCCACCCCACGACAAGTGCGGGGCAGCCACAGGGTAGCAACGTCCAGGCACACAGCAACACCCCACCCTTCCCTTGAAGCCCCACGACCCGCACTCACACGCCTCAGCCAGGGAAAGCAGCTCAACCACAAACTTGGGCAGGTCCCTCGTGGGCCATCTGCGGCCGCAGCCCACAGTGTGCATTGCAGCCATGCGTGCAGCAATGGCCAAAGACAAACCTTCCCGACTCTATTTACCCCACCCGCACTCACATGACTCCGCCAGCGAAAGCAGCTCGGCAACGAACTTGGGCAGGTCCCTCGTGGGCCATCTGCGCCCGCTGCCCACGGTGTGCGTGGCAGCCATGCGCGCAGCAATGGCGAGGCACAGCAGCACCCGCTCTTCATCCAGCGGGTAGATCAGATCCACCAGCTCCGCCGCCCCGTCCGATGGCTCCAGGCATGCCAGCAGCCCCTGCAGGCCCCAATCAAACGCCTCTAGGGCCAGGAAATCGCCCGCCTCCCCGTTGACGTCTATGAGCTGGGGGGGGGGGGGGGGGGGGGGTTGAGGGGGGGAGAGGTTGTTGCATGGGGCATGCATGGGGCAGCGAATGCACATGACATGGAGTACTGTAATGCTGCTGACATGCATGCAAGCTCACCCACTCACCTCATATGTATGCATGACAGATTTCACATGCATTGTCTCCAGCAGCATGGCCAGCTGCTGCTGCTCGCTCTCCAGCATGCGTCCCACTCTCAGCCACACGCCCCACCCCACTTGATGCTCCGGTGCTGCTATCTGCTCTACCACCTCCACTGCCCGCTCCTCTGCCTGCCCCACCGTCCTCACCCCACTCCCTGGTAACCCTATTCCCAGCCATCGGTTGAGCACCACGTGCGCTGCTAGCTCCCGCTCTAGTGCCTCCAGTGCTGCTACCCCACTGGTGGTAGCAGAGGAGGCAGAGGAGAGGGAAGAAGACGAAACGGATGGGGCAGCAGGAGCAGTATGATCTGAAACAGGAGGAGCAAGGGCACGCCCTGCTGCTGCCGTTGATGACGCTGATCCAGTCCCTGCAGCAGCACCAGCAGCAAGAGCAGACGCACCAGCGGCGGCGCTGCCAGGACCAGCCCCTGGGCTGCCCCTAAGGTTCATGCGCAGGAAGTTGAGCGTCACCTCATACGCCCACGGGAACCGCTGCTTCAGCTGCGTGCTCCTCAGCATCGCATCCGCAAACTGCCCGATATACACCGGGGGGGGCGTCGGTTGCGGCAGTGCTGGTAGCTGCAGCCCCGCATGTGACATGGCAGCGGGGCCGAGGGTCGACGCCACAGCAGCTGTCACCGCTGCTGCTATTGCTGTCGGCGCGGCAGCCATGGCTGACCCGGGTGCAGCCTTGATCGCCGTAGCCAGCCGCGCGAACCGCGCTGAAACCGACTCCACCCCGCGCCCGTGAAACACCATCGAGATCACCTGACTGAACCCATCCACACCTAGTCTCCCGGTGGCCACGGCCCCCATGCCGAATTGGAAGGCTGCCTCATGCAGGCCCATGCGCACACAGTGCCGTGCCGTGGCCAGGAGATCCTCTGGGTGGAGGTGCCTCAGCTGCCGAGCCTCCACGGCTAGGTTCGTTGCCACGAGGCCCGGGCCGAAGCCGAAGGAGTAGTAGAGGCGGTCGATCTCCTCGCAGCGCTCTGCTAGGTTGCTGTGCCGCGCCTGGCCTATGCCTTCAGCTAGCGCGATCTCCGCCAGCGCAGAGAGAGGGAGCGGCGCCCATGCTGCTGGTGCGGGTGACAGTGCTGGGGCTGGTGATGGTGCTGGTGATTGTGACTGAAGTTGTAGTGCCTGTGCCTGTGCCTGTGGATGCTGACCTTGCCCGACCTCTTGCACCCCCCCTTGCACCTGACCCTGCCCCAGCCGCTGCTTCCTCTGCATCTCCTCCTCCTGCTGCTGCTGCTCCTGCTGCTGCTTCAACAGCGCCTGCATCACCAGCTCATGCCTCGAGCTCGACCCTCCCGCCCCTCCTCCCCCCCCACCTTCCCATCCGCCCCCTCCCAGCATGCCACTAGCAGCAGCACGGTCGTAGCAAGCTGTGAGAACAGATCTAAGGCAGCTCATGACAAAGGCACGGCAGGACGCGAGATGTGCCGAGGGGAGCAGGTCGAAGAGAGGGGGGAGGCCAGTGACAGAGAGGGGGGAGTCCAGAGGGTTGTCTCGAGGGAAAGAACCAGGGGAAGGGGGAACGGAGCCGCTCGTGCTGCTAGTGCCGCTGCCACTGACGCTGGGAGGGAAGGTGGTGGTGGACTGGCCAGTACTGGCAGTAGCAGCAGCTGCTGCTGCTGCAGGGCCGGGAGTATTGAATGAGACAGAGCCAGCAGTAGCAGCAGCAGCAGGGGGAGGAGGAGGAGCAGCAGACCCCGATGTATGGAAGCTTGAGAAGGCCGAGTTGAGGAGAGCTGAGCCTAGAGCAAGAGTGAAGCGCCTCTTGTGAGTCGCACCCTGCTCGTGCTGGTGGTGGTGGTGGTGGTGCTTTCCATTGTCAGCAGCTGCATCCATCCCAGCATCTGAGCCAACACGAGCAAGACTGCCAGCAGCAGCAGTGGCAGCCGCAGCACCCTCCCCCTGTGCTTGTGCGAACGTGGGAGACGTGGGCTGGCTATCCCCTCTCCTCCCCACACTCCCCACTTGAGACGCGGAGCGAGGGGATGCGAGCGACGGCGCTTGTTGCGGGAGGGGAACAGCAGCAGTGGCAGCAGCTGCGGCGGCAGCAAGAGTGCCGACACCCCGGGGCGTGCCGCTGGGGGAGATGAGCGGGGTGGTGGTGCGGGGCGATGCAGAGGCAGGACCTGCTGCTGCTGCTAGGGAGTAGAGGGAGGCTCGACTGGCACCGGAACGAGGAGACATGCTCCTCCCGCCATTGCCTCCAAACAAGACACCACTGCCACCACCCCCAATCACCCCACCAACCCCACCAACACCACCACCAGCAGGGCTAGCAGCAGCAATACTGAAGTTCCCCAAGCCGGCAGCGGCAGCAGCAGCAGCGGCGGCTTCAGCAGCGCGAGCAGCACATTCAAGAAAGGCGAGTCGGTCCAGCAGGTGCAGCAGGCACATGCATGCTGTAGACGGCTGCCAGGGTGCAATGGACGCAGCCAGCCCCACCAGGAGCACCACCTCGTCCTGCCTACAGATCACCCCTTGCAGGTAACCCCCCCCACCTCCCCCTGCCCCTGCCTCTGCCCCTGCCCCTGCCAGAGCTTCCTTTGCCAGTCTGTGTTGCAGAGAGCCTTGGATCCCCCACCGAGCCTCCACAGGGGAAGGCATGGGACCGGTACCACCAGCAGCAACACCGGAAGCACCACCGGCAGCTGCAGTGGGTCCGGAGAGGGTGCCTGTGCGCCCCATGGTGCCGCGGCGTCGCAGGGAGTGGGCAAAGGAGGAGGAGAAGAAGGAAGAGGGGCGCCGGCTGATCTCTGGCGGGTGCTGCTCCTGGTCCTCATCCCCCCCCTCCCCCTCGTCCTCCATCCCATACCAGTCATCCAGCTCATACGCCCAGTCGGGCTTCTCCTCCCCCCACTGCTCCCAGTACTTGAGCCACACAGCCAGCCCACACGCAAACAGCTGCCTCACCTGGCTTTCAGTGAGCTGCTCGCAACTCCCAGACGCCCCTTGGAACTTCCTCCTCACCCATTCATACTCCCTCACAGCCGAGGCCGCGGTCCAGTTGGGGTTCCTCTGCACGCTCCGGGCCACCGGCACGGCACTCCCGAGCCACTCGCCCTCATCCGAGGCAAACAGCCCCGACAGCGACCGAGGCTGGGGGGGAGCCTCGGCGAAGACACCCCCACCCCCCTTGCTCCGGGCGTGTTCTTTCCAGGAGCGGGACCTGGTGTTAGGGTCGCTGGATGTGGGGGAGGGCAGCTGCAGGGAGATCTCAAGGTAGTGGAGGAAGAGGCGGGACCAGTGCTCCTGGCAGCCCTGCATGGTTGCTCGCGCCATGCCGATTATCCCAAACTCGCGGGTCCTTGCTGCCGCCACGCCCATCGACCGCACGCTGCTCATCCGCCGCACGATTTCGGGCCGTCGGATTGTGGAGAGCGATCGAACAAACATCATCTCGTCCACCACCTCGTCCTCTTCCTCCTCTTCGTCGTCATCCTCCTCCTCCTCGTCTTTTTCTTCTTCAGTATCCGTCTCCTCCTCCTCCTCCCCCGTCACTTCTTCCTCCTCCTCTGTACTTCCCCCTCTTCGATCACCCTCCCTATCCTCCCACACACGTCCAGCCTTCTCCTCCCCCCAATGCACCACTTTCCTTAAACCCCGCCTCCCCCCACCCACTCCACCTCCTGCTTCTCTCTCCACCACTGCCCGCTCCTCTCGCCCTTCCTCCCTCCCCCTCTCCTCATCCCCATCCTCCCCATCCTCCCCATCTTCCCCATCCTCCCCATCTGCCCCTTCCTCCCCTCTCCTCTCCTCCTCTTCCCCCCCCTCCAGCTCGTCACTGTTGAACTCATGGATGATGACAGAGTCGTCTCGTGGCAGCCCTTGCCCTTCGTCCTCGGACATCACTCTCGTTAGCAGCAATGACTGCGCCGACCGTACTGATCCCTGCTCTGATCCCCCCTGCTCCACCTGCTGCTGCTGCTGCTGCCCCTGCTGGAACAACGGATCCGTATCAATAGCAGCAGAGGAAGTAGACGCAGTCGCAACAGCAGCAGCAGGTGCAACAGCAGCGGCAGGTGCAACAGCAGCGGCAGGTGCAACAGCAGCGGCAGGTGCAACAGCAGCGGCAGGTGCAACAGCAGCGGCAGGTGCAACAGCAGCGGCAGGTGCAACAGCAGCGGCAGGTGCAACAGCAGCGGCAGGTGCAACAGCAGCGGCAGGTGCAACAGCAGCGGCAGGTGCAACAGCAGCGGCAGGTGCAACAGCAGCGGCAGGTGCAACAGTAGCGGCAGGTGCAACAGCAGCGGCAGGTGCAACAGCAGCGGCAGGTGCAACAGCAGCGGCAGGTGCAACAGCAGCGGCAGGTGCAACAGCATGACCGTTGGCAGCAGCAGCATCGGCAGCAGCATCGGCAGCGTCCCCCCTAGCCCCTTGCAAGACATCATCCGGCTTCTCCTCTTGCGCCCGTTCCTGTTCCCACTCCTGCCCTTCCCCTCTCCGTGCCCCTCTCACCGGCCATGCCTCCCCAAATGAAGCTACCCTGCCAAACATACCTCTCTCCTCTTCCCAGTTGTCCGTACATGCACCAGCACCAGCACCAGCACCAGCACCAGCACCAGCACCAGCAGCGGCAGCAGCAGCGGCAGCAGCAGTGGGAGCAGCAGGTGGTCTCATACGGGCGGGGCTACCTCCGCTCATGCCACCAGCACCAGCACCAGCACCAGCACCAGCACCAGCACCAGCACCAGCACCAGCACCAGCACCAGCACCAGCACCAGCACTAGCGACGGCCGCAGCAGCAGCAGATGCAAGCACGGCACTACCATCCCCTGCACCTGCACCCACTCCCACAGGTCCCTCACCTGGCCATACCTGCGAAACAGCCGCTGCTGCCACTGCTGCTATTGGCTCTCCTACTGCCATTGGCTCTGCTGCTGCTACTGGCACTGCTGCCCTCCCCACTGTTTCCCGCACTCCCAAAGCGCTTTCTGCCATAGTCTTCTTGCGCAGGGGGGACCGAGGCACACCTGGTAACCCCCATCCTCCTCCACCCTTGGCCCCTCCAAGCCCGCCCAACACTCCTCCCCAATCCCCGCTCCCCAATCTGCTAGGAATCTCTTTTCTCAACCGCGCACGGAGGCGCATGCCAAGGCCCCCACCACTGCCCCCTCCACCGACGTCCTCCTCCTCGCTCTCCTCCCCGCCAGTACTCGCATCCCTCCATCTGCTCCCGCCCTCCCGCATCCTCGCCTCTCCAGCCAAAAGCCTGTTGGAAACATCACCCCTGCCCTCTGCTGCGGCTCCCGCCATAGCCCTTAGTCTGGACCCCGTGCTGCTGCTGCCGCCATTGCTGCTGCCAACAGCAGCACGGGCAGAAAGCGGCCCTGTGTGTGATGAGAAACCCATACCTGCCTCTCCTCCTCCTGCCCCAGCACCAGCAACACCAGGAGCACCCTTGGCTCCAGCGCTAAGCGGTCCTGCCTGTCCCATGCCCCAAGGGTCCTCTCCTCTCCGCGTCACCAGCGCCTCCAGCTCCATGGCTCCAAAACTGCTGCTCCTACGCTGCCACAGCATCCCCCCCTGCTTCACGCCCCCCCCACCACTCCCACCAGCAGCAGCAGCAGCAGCAGCAGCAGCAGCAGAGGCGGCAGCGGCAGCAGCGGCGGCTCTACCAGAGGCGGCTCCCTGCCGGGAGGCTATGGCGACTCGGAGAGGGGTGCGGGAGCGGGCGTCTGCTGCAGCTGCGACCGCAGCGGCAATGACAGACGCTGACGCTGCTGCCGCTGAGGGGTTGAGCGCACGGGAGCACGGAGGCCCACCCATCGCTGCTCCACCTGCTGCTGCACCAGTGAGTGCTCCTGCAGCGGTAGGGTCTGCAGATAAAGCGGTGGGAGCAGCAGTGGAGGCAAGGGCAATAAGTGCTACAGCACCACTGGAGTCAGTGCGACCAATGGAAGGAGGCACCACCTCCTGCCCCTCCTCCTCCTCTTCCTCCTCCTCCTCTTTCTCGTCTTCGTCTTCCGCTTCCTCTTCTCCTCCACTTCCTCCTCCACCTGTCATACCCCCTGCAACGCCGTGAGGGGAGGAGCTGTGGCTGCTCCTATGCGCATACAGCATCCCACCCATGCCATCCGCTCCCCCCCTTCGGCGACGGCCACTTGGGCTGGCAACAGGGCTTTGGGTCATGGAGCTCTTCCTCGCAGGGCTTAACGGGGGTAATTGGCTCCCAACAAAGCTCCTAGAAGGGCTGCAAGCAGGGCTCCTAACAGGGCTCATAACAGGGCTCCTAAAAGGGCTCCTAACAGGGCTCCTAATTGCAGCAGCAGCAGCAGCAGCAACAGCAGCACCTATGGGGCTCACCAACGGACTAATCATACCATCCCCTATCCTCCTCCCCTCCTCCTCCTCCCCTTCACTCTCGCTCTCACTCTCACTCTCCCCCCCGAACCCAGCAGCAGCGCGAACAGCCGCCGCCGCAGCCGCCAACTCCGCATCCCCTTCCGGCAGCGGCGGCAACCCCTCCCCCTCCTCCTCCTCCTCCCCCTCCCCCTGCGTGTCAACCGCGAGCCTGGCAGCAGCAGCTTCTAGGTCCGGCATGGCAGGGAAGGACCATGCTGCGTCCTTCTGGGACCGGCTTCTGTCGCGCCTGCGCTCCCGCTGCTGGATACTCAGCCGCGAACCGCCCCCTCCCCCTCGCACCCACGCCCTGCGAAGGCTCGCAGCGAGCGCCTCTGGATTCTCCCCTGCCCCCGCCCCTGCCCCTGCCCCTGCCCCTACCGCTAACCCTCCGAACCCGCCTTGCGCTCCTGCACCTCCTCCCAGCGCCACGGCCCCTTGCTCCGACCCGTGCCTGCTCCCATCGGTGCCCTCGCTGCTGTGCGGAGACCACAAGTCTACACCCATGCCCGCGCCCGCGCCCATGCCCATGCCTACGCCTACGCCCAACTCGTCCCCTACGTGCGCGTCGCTGACCAAGAGAGGCTCCACTGCCACCATGTGCAGGTCGTCAGACACGCCCATTTGGGCCATGAACTCAGCCGGGCTAGGAATGGCTTCCGTCCGCGCTGCTTCTGCTCCTGTTGCTGCTGCTGCTGCTGCTGCTGCTGATCCTGCTGCTGTTGCTGCACTTTTCTTCTCCCGCTGCTTCCCGCTCCCTGCGCTCCTCCCTGCCCCCTCGCGTCCCGCCTTCTTCTCCTTGCTCTTCACACTCGCACTGCGCAAACCATCCTTGCTCTTTACCTTAGTCTTCCGGGATACCTCACCCCCTTGCCCTTCTCTCGAGCTCGAGCCATGCCTCTCCCTACCACTCCCATGCTCCGACCCCTTTTCCGACCCATCCCTAACCATCATGGTGCTCCTGCTCCTCCTCTCCTTCGCCTTCTTCTCGCCCCTACTCCCTTCTGTGTCCTCTCCCCCGTCCTTCTCCTTGTCTCGTTTCACCCGCTCCTTTCTCTCTCGTACCCGCCCCTCCTTCGCCTCCTCCCTCTCACCTTCTCCCCCGTCCCCCTCGCCCCTCTCCATCCCACTCCCTTTCTTCTCTTTCAACCGCCTCGCCTCCCTCTCCCTCTCCCTCTCGCTTCCCCTCTCCCTCTCCCTCCCACTCCCCCTCTCGCTCCCCCTCTCCTTCTCCCTCCCACTCCCCCTCTCGCTCCCCCTCTCCCTCTCCCCATGGCCGTGCATCTTCTCCTTGACTGTATCCAGCTCCCCCACCTGCACCGAATGCCGCCTGCCCAGTTTCTCCCGCTCCTTCTCGCCCTTCCTCCCTTTCTCCCTGCCCTCCGCTGCTCCTCTCCTTCTCTCGAGCTTATCCGAACCGTGCCTTTCCACACCCAGCCCCGTTGCTGACCTTCCCGTCTTCTCCTTACCGCCCTCCCCTTCCTCTGCCCCCGGTTCCCTGACCAGTGGCAGTGTCACACTCTTCCCAGCAACTTCATCCCTTTCGTCCTCCATCCCTGCTCCAGCAGCAGCACTAGCACCACCACCACCACCGCCACCACCATCACCATCACCACCAGCAGCAACCCCACTCCAAGACATGCCACTCTGGGACGTACCACGCAGTCTAGAGCCCCGCCTCTTCTCCCCCGCCCCTTCCCCGGCACCACCCCTGGCCTGCTCACTCACACTCGACTGTGACCGTCCCAGGCGGCTGCTCTCATTCCTCGATGCACCCTTCCCTGCTGCCCCGCTCTTCTCCCCTCCCTTTCCTCCTTCTATCCCACTTCCCCCTCCCCCTCCCCCGCCACCAACTCCCATTCCCCCTGTTTCTGCCAACCCCCCTCTTCCCTCGTCCTTTGGGCCCCCGTCCTTCGCCCCACCTCCCCCCTCCCCCGCGCTTTGATCCGAGCTGCTGCACTCGCCGTCCTTGCTCACCCGCTGGATCAGCTTAGCCATGCTCGATCTCGACCGTCCAATTCCCTTAGACATCTCCAGAACCTCCCGCAGCGCTCGATCCCTCTCCTTCTCTTTCCCCTTCCCCTTCCCCTTCTCCGTCGCCGTCTCCTTCTCCCTCTCCCTCTCCCTCTCCCTCTCCCTCTCCCTCTCCCTCTCCCTCTCCCTCTCCCTCTCCCTCTCCCTCTCCCTCTCCCTCTCCCTCTCCCTCTCCTTCTCCCTCTCGCCTCGGCTTCTCCACCCTCCTACTCCTTCCACCGCACCCGCTGCCGCGCCTGCCGCCTCTGCTGATCCCGCCCCTCCAACGCCTTCCCTCCCTTCCGCCGCCCCTTCCCCCGTTCCTCCCCCAGATCCTTCCCCTTCTCCCCATCTTGCCCCGTCCCCTCCATCCCCCACGTTCCCCCGTTCCCCCCCTTCGCCCGGCACGAGGGAAACACCCCCGCCGTCCTCCTCTTCAACGGCCACCATCATCACCTCCCCAGTGGCCAGCACTATTCTGCCCATCACCCGCCGCCCCCCCGGCCCATCGTGCACCACTGTGGCATCCACCAGGCGCGCGGGGATGGTTCTGCTCTCCCCGTCGTCCCCCACCACGTCCACTTCTATCTCCTGCCCCAGGGGCCACACTCCCGCCGCTGCTGCTGCTTCGGCTGCTGATTCCACTGCTTCTGCTGCTGTTGCTGCGTCTGTTGCCTCTGCTGCGTCTGCTGCTTCAACTGCGTCTGCCTCTGCTGCCTCTTCAGCAGGGTCTCCCCCAACATCCTCTCGCCTCAAATCTTTTTCGTCTTTCCTTGTCTCTTCTGCCCTCCCACGGCCTAATCCGCTCACGCCAGCAGCAGCAGCAGCAGCAGCAACGGCGGCGCCAGCCGGCTTGTGCAGCCGTTTCCTATCCGCGGAAAGCGGCAACGGATTAGCATAGAAGCTCCTCTCAAACCCGCCTCCCGCTCCCCCATCGTCCCCCATCTCCGCCCTCCCGCTGCTCCCCCCCCTAGCCCACTCCCCCCGGCCGTAGACGGCCGCCCGCCACCCAGCCCTAAGCGCCTGAAAACGCGGGAGATGCGTCCGCTGCGCCCCCCTTCCTCCGCGCCTCCCGTTCCCCCAGCGCTGGCTGCAGCGACGGCTGTAGCGGCGACTGTAGCAAGGTCCGCGCTGGCTGCGCGCGCGTGGCCCGCGCCTCTCTCCGCCGCCAGCATCCGCGCCGCCACGAGCGGGGGGGGCTTGCGGAATATGCTCCGCGCGCGCGCCTGCGCCTCCCCCTCCGTGTCCGCCTGCGGTTGACTCTCTAGATGCCCCGAAATCGCTTCCCCGTCCGTCGCTATCCCTCCTCCTCCTCCTCCTCCTCCTCCCCCCTCTCCTACTGCCACGGTTTCTACCACCAGTGCGCCATGCCCCCCTGGCTGCTCGTCTGTCGTCCCATGCTCTGAAGAGAAACTGCCCTTAAACCCCCTCACCGCTCGTGCCGCTGACACACGTTCCCTACCTGAAAGACCCACACACCCAACCCCACCGCCAACCCCATCCCCATCCCCAGCAGCAGCAGCAGCAGCAGAAGCAGCAGCAGCAGCAGCAGCAGCAGCGCCACTGCCAGGAGCAGAATCACCTAGCGCAGAGTCGTCGACAGGCGCGCCACTTTTAGCTCCCCGGAACCCCGCCAAGCGAGCCATAAGCGCGCCATGCTTCCACCTACCAGGCGCTGCGGCGGCCGCTGCGGCAGGCGTTGCTCCGGGTGCTCGGTCAAACGAGCCCTCCTCGTTCACACCAGCTGCCCCACCGCCAGCAGCAGCAGCAGCAGCAGCAGCAGGGGAAAGCAGGCTCCCGGAATAAGCGCCACCTTCCCCGGCGGTTGATCCGCCGCCCGCGGCGGAAGGGGAGGATTCGGAGGAGACGGTGGAGGTTTCGAGGAGGGACGAGGCGAAATCGTCGGGATCGCTACCCGCGCTGTGCGTGAGCGGAATGGAAGCGGAGAAGGACGACGGCTGCCTCCGGCTCACCCGAGAGCTCGCTCCGCTTCCGCTTCCGCCTCCTCCTCCTCCGCCTTCTCCCTTTCGTCCTCTGCTGCCGCCTCCCCGTCCCGCTCCCCCTCCCCCTACCCCTCGTCCTCCCGAGTCCGCTCGTGGTCCGTCGCTCACGACCGTCGGGAATTCCGACGACGAGCGGGAGCGGCCGGACGCGCACAGGCGGACCAGCGGTGAATTATCCTCGCGGACGGAGTCTGGGGTGGCGGAGGGCGAGCGATCTGCCGGGGGAGGGGATGCTGGCGTGCTGCCGGCTGTTCTCCCCATCCGCATACTAACACGTGTACGAACAGCCGCAGGAGCAGAAGCACGCGCAAGAGCACGCGCAAGCGCACGAGCGGCAAGTGGTTCGGTGGGTTAGGGTTGCGAAGCCGGCGCACTAAAAAAGCATGGGCTGGGCACCAAATGCACCCGTCAAGTTGCTGCTCTAGGAGCGATGCTTGCAGCGTTCTCTGGAGGTAACGAGGGACTCTATCTTCGCGCGGAGCCCCGCCATGACCCCCTCGGCGCGGTTCGACGGCCCGCCGCGAGACGCTTACTGCCGCAGACTAGAGACCGTCAGTGCCCGTCAGAGACCGTCAGTGCCCGTCAGTGCCCGTCAGAGACCGTCAGTGCCCGTCAGTGCCCGTCAGAGACCGTCAGTGCCCGTCAGTGCCCGTCAGAGACCGTCAGTGCCCGTCAGTGCCCGTCAGTGCCCGTCAGTGCCCGTCAGTGCCCGTCAGTGCCCGTCAGGGGCCATCAAGGACCGCCGTTAGTAATAATCAGTCGATTTCAGTGACTATGCGAGTCGTTCAGTGACTGCTGATAAATATTACTAGCTATTAACGAACATCAACGATCGCCAAGAGAGAAATCTTCATATACAAAACGAACAATGCAGCTCAGCTCACCCTCATGGCGGCTTTGCCTTGTGCTTGCAGGTGGGCGTCTTTGTGGCACCTCCCACCCATCGCGCCACAGAAAATGATTGCACACACCAGGCAGGAGGTGGCAGAAAGGGGAGGTACTAAGCCATAACGAAGAATTTCAACCCGCCGCTGCCAGCAGCCTCGGTCAGCTGTCATAGGTACAGGAATGGTTGGGGAGGAGGAAGTACTACGGTACAGAACATTAATGGTTAATACAGTGCAGTACAAGGGAGCGAGGATGTGAGAAAAAAATGTTCACTGTACAAGAGAGGAGCAGGGAGTAATCTGATCCAAGGAGGAGCAAGAGTGCAATTAATTATACACCTCAATGCAGCCTCAGGACGTTTCAAAGGCGCTGTTCGTGTCACCACGTCAGCACTTCGGCTTTTGTTATTCTTCCAAGAATACTTTCGGGTGACTGTACTGATACTTAGTGGAGCGAAACTGGCCACGGAGCGGCGGCATGTTTGGTTGGTTGGAGGAATCTCACATCAGACAACACAGCCCATCACACACAGGGTGCCTCTCTCGCGCGACCGACACGACGGAAGGAGAGGTGCGTGCAGATAGGCGGGGGAACACGTACAGATGCAAGAAGCATGAGCCATCATTATGAAACCTGCACCCGAATCAAATCATGATGAATGTTATGAAATATAACTCGAGAGTAAAGAGCATAAAACTATAGGGGAGCTAGACTACATAATTGTCTCTAGCAATGAAAGGCCTAGGGCTTATATATGCTAGCTGACCAGGTTGAACCTCCAGAGTTGGACCAGTCAACGGCTCAGTAGCAAGGCCTATTTTATGCTCTTATCCTATGGGTCGTAGCTGCGTGCCTCCACCGCAATCTCCTTGTGCTGTGTCTCCACTCCGACCGTGGTGACGAGTTCTCCTCTGCTCGGCTTGGACAGTTCTGTCGTGCGGAGGGCATCACCTAGTTGTACACCCTACCGGACTCCCCACAGCAGAATGGGGTCGTGGAGCGACGCATCGGTTTGGTCATGGAGGTGGCTCGTACCTCCATGATCCATGCCGTTGCACCCCATTCTCTGTGGACGTTCACCGTTCGCTACGCCGCTCAGCAGCTTAACCTGAAGCCGCACTCCCAACGACCACAGGTTTCGTCGACCCTTCTTTGGATCGGGTTCCCTGGTGATGCGTCCACGTTCTATGCCTGGGGCTGCCTTGCTCACGTTCATGCCTGTTGCAAGGACAAGCTCACTGTCTGCACTGTCCCCTGTGTCTTCCTAGGTTTCTCCCTTGACTCGTCTGATTGGCACTTTTACCATCTGTCGTCTCACCGCATCTTTCACTCCTGGCACGTCTATTTTGACGAGTCTGTCCCCTTTTACCACCGCTTTCCTCAGCAAGGTCTCCCAGTTTCCCCCCCCCTTGTTTCTGGTTCCCACTCCCCCGGTAGTCCTGCTCCCCTCCCTCCCCGTCCTGCTCCGTCTGGTGTGTCTCACGTCACTCCACTCCAGTCGGTTGTACCGGTCGAGGAGCCGGCTGACTCTGGTGGCCCCGCGGCGCAGTTCTTGCCGCTTGTCTCTCCCCAAGTGTCTCCTCCTCCGTCGTCACAGTCGCCACCGCTGCAACAACCGCCGCCGCCGCCGCAGCCGCTGCCACCGTCGCAGCCGCAGCAGCCGATCATGGACTCTGGGGATGCTGGTGTTGAGGAGGGTGCTAGTCCTGGGGTTCCTGTTGTGGCCTGTCCCGGTGGGCTCGGGGGTGGCACCGGTGCTGGAGAGAGTTTTCGGTCTGGGGGTACTCGTTTTGGGGGTGCTGGAGTGGAGTGTTCCGGATGTAGCCACGGTGTAGCTGGCAGTCCAGGTGTGAACGTCGAACAGCAGTAGCAGCAATCGCCGCTGGTGTCCGCCCTTCGCCTGCTCGGCCTTCCCTCCCCTGACCACTCGCCTGCGCCTCCCCCACCGCCTCCTCCCCTTCCTGTCCACGGTCCTGTGTTTCCTCCGCCAGACTCGTCCTCGGCTCGTTTCCCAGCTCGTTCCCCTCCTGTTACTCCTCCTCTGTCTCCTAACCCGATGCCTCCGTCTTACGTGTGGTCTCGCCGTCCCTCTCGTGCTCCTCCTGTCTCCCCTATTCAGCGTTCTCACCCCATGTTGCTACATTCCCACGAGTCTCGTCCTCCCCTCCTGCCTTCGCCTCCTCTGTCGTCGCTCGCTGTCGCGCCTCCTCCTCTATTAGACAACCTTCTTGCAGCTCGTCTTCTTGTTCCTCGAGTCCTTGCCTCCCTCGTTACCGACCCGTCTATTCCCCTTTCGAATCTTGACGCTCTTATCGCTGCTGTCACTGCCTTCACCTCTACCCACCGCCTTGACTACGCCACCGCTTTGGTCTCTGACCCTGTCCGTCCTCCGTTTGTCGGGGGTGCTCCTGCTCTTGGCAGTGACGTCCTAGAAGACAGGCAGTACGAGCTTGCTTTCCTGTCCGAGGCTGCTCCCCATCTCTACTCCATGCTGCTAGTCCCTGAGGGTGACCCAGACGCCTTTGACATCTCGACCCCTCGCACTTACGCTGAGGCGACCTCGGAACCCTAGGCCTCTTAGTGGATAGCCACCATGGAGCAGGAGTTGGCATCTTGGAGATCCACCGGCACCTACATCGACGCAGTTCCCCCACTCGGGGTGAACGTAGTCGATGGCTAGTGGCTCTTCAAGGTGAAGCGCCCGCCTGGAGAGCCGCATGTGTTCAAGGCGCGCTACATGGCTAGAGGCTTTAGTCAACGCGAGGGTGTGGACTTCTTTCAGACCTTCGCCCTGATTCCAAAGATGACTACTCTTCGGGTGCTGCTACACGTAGCAGCACATCGTGACTACGAGCTGCACTCCCTCCACTTCTCCGCCGCTTTTCTTTAGGGCAGCCTACACAAGCAGGTCTACCTGCGCTGTCCACAGGGCTTCACCGGTACCTTCCATCCTCGGACCTAGTGGCTCCTCCGACGCCCGGACTACGGCCTACGACAGGCGCCTCGTGAGTGGCACGACAATCTGTATGCTACGCTAGCTGACTTGCAGTTTTTCCTGTCGTCTGTAGACCCCTCGCTCTTCGTTCATGCTGGCCAGACCTCGTTCTACATCCTTGTCTACGTAGACGACCTGGTCTTCGCTACTGCAGACAGAGACGCACTGGCCTCCGTGAAGGTCGGGCTGCTGAGGAGACACAACTGCACTGACCTAGGACAGTTGCGCCACTACCTTGGCTTGCAGATCTCCAAAGATACAGCAGCGCACACCATCACTCTCACACAGTCACACTTGGTGCGCCAGGTTGTTCTGAGGTTCGGTCTTCAGTTCTCCTCTGCATTGCCCACACCTCTGCCAGTAGACCACATGCTATCAGCTCCAGTTCCTGAGGAGTCAGTAGAACGTAGTGGTCCCTACGCAGAGCTGGTGGGTTGCCTCATGTATTTGATGACTTGCAGTTGTCCAGAACTCGCATACCCTCTCAGCATCTTGGCTCACTTTGTGGCCACAATGAGACACCGACCACAACACTGGTCGGCAGCTAATAGGATTCTGCATTATCTAGCAAGTACATCGGGCATGAGACTCGTGCTGGGAGGACGCAGGCCAGTGGTCCTTACTGGGCACATGGACGCTTCGCGGGCAGACGACGGTGAGACGGTCAGGTCCTCTCATGGCTACTGCTTTAGCCTTGGTTCAGGTACCATCTCGTGGAGGTCCACCCGCTCGTCGTCTGTTGCCCAGTCTAGCTGTGAGGCTAAGATCTACGTCGGTGCCATGTCGGCACTGTAGCTCCGCTGGCTGACTTTCTTGCTGACAGACTTAGGTGAGCGGCCTAGCTCTTCCCTGGTCCTGTACACTGACAACAGGGCCATGATCCTCGTGTATCAGGAGCCTCGACTTGAGGGCAGAGCGAAGCACATCCAACTGCGGTACTTGCTCCTGCGCGAGCTACAGCAGCGCCGCCAGGCCCGCGTAGTACACTTGGCCTCCAGTGCCAACACAGCTGATATCTTTACGAAGGCGCTTGCGCCTAAAGATTATCAGCGGCACTGTGTACAGCTTGGTCTAGTTCCAGTAGCTCCTCACTTGCTAGGATCCTGATTGAGTACTTCTCCATATATTATCTTAAATGGCTTGGTTTTGCTATGTTTAGCTTGTACTCTTGCTGTTTGGTGTTTAGACCTTTTCCTCAGAGGTTGGACTAGTAGTGCCGCCCTGAGCTATGTGTCTCTCGCTAGGCACTGCCCCTTGTCTAGCCTTGGGGCTGTGTCATTTTATATATATTTGCATATGTATAGTTATAGACTAGAAGGCTTCGTGCTCTTAGAGAGTACAACACCCAACCATATGTTCCTCTGTATCCGTCATTTGTAGTCATTATGCTAATCTAAGAGGATGTGTGAGGGCATCTAGGGCCCTTCACCAGATTTAGGGCCAATGTGTACTCGTAGGGGGAGGGGAGTGCAAGATTCCCCTTCCCCTTCTCAATCATATTTTGTATATATCTTATAGGCTAGATAGGTGCGTATTCTTAGAGGGTACAACCCCTTAGACAAAACCCACCTGTTTGCATCAGTCTAGTTATTCTTTCTTACGTTAACATGGTATCATGCTAGGTTTGGTCCCCCCCCTCCCCCCCCCCACCCACCCGCGCTTCCGCCTTAGGCCCAGTTCTAGCCGCCCCTTAGCGCCCCGCTGGCCCCTTAGCACCCTGCTGCCCCGTATGCCCCGCTGGCCCCTTAATGCCCCGCTAGCCTCGTTTGCACCCCGCTAGCCTCGTTCGCACCCCGCCAGCCACATGCTCCCTGCCGGCCCTATACGCCTCGCTGGCCCCGTTCGCCCCGCTCGCCCCGCTTTCGCCCCGCAGGCCCCGTTGAGCCCCGCTAGCCCCGTACGGCCTGCTGGCCCCATAATGCCCTGCTAGCCCCGTGCACGACCCGCTAGCCCCGTGCGCCCCGCCGGCCCCGTACACCTCGCTGGCCCCGTTCGCCCCACTGGCCCCGCTAGCGCCCAGCTGGCCCCATCGAGCCCCGCTAGCCCGGTGCGCCCCACAGGCCTTGTATGCCCCGCAGGCTCCATTTGCCCCGCTGGCCCCGTT